AACCGTTGCGGGGATGAATCTTCTACCCGAAGAATTATCTGAGCCTTCTATCAAGTATAAGTGTTCTGCAGCAATAATTGGACTGTGATTCTGTTTTCTAGTGGGAACCTCAAGTTATCATCAGTTGAGTAGTTAGTTGGGAGATAAGTGGAATGGATTTAGCAATGGTTAAGTATGGGCGGTCTGTCAGGGAGTCAGATCATCTCAAGACTTCAGATTTTAGGCTGAGTAGACGTGGTTGTTTTGAAAGGGATTATTTTTTTGGGTTGAGAAAGGATTCGTTCATTTCCAGGTTGGAGAGCCCTGCTAGGGTTGGTTTCGGTTACTTTGGGAAGGTTTGGGTATGCTCGGGGTTGTGGTCGTGTTGCTCGGGTTGTTTGGCATGCCCGGGACGGTAAGGAATAATTTCGAGGATGAAATCTAATTTAAGTGGCAGAGATTTGTAACACCCTGTTCCGAATCGTTCCTCATTTGGAGGCGGGTGATGTAATTTGGATGATCCGGATGTTCGGTTTGTGTTTTGGAGCCAAAGGGTATTTTGGTAGTATCTCAGCTCGGGCTTTTATGGAAATTGGATTCATGTTAGGGTTTGAGGGGAAACCCTAGTACACGGGGCATACCTAGGGAGTACGCAGGGCGTATTGATGTGAACGGTAGTACGCGAGGCGTAATGTGGTGTACGCTTAGCGTACTGCGAAGGATGGATCGAGGGTGCGAGACCTCGTATGCTGGGTATACGAGGAGTACGCGGGGTGTACGAGGAGTAAGTGAAAACCCTAATTTAGGGTGAAGTACCCTATATAAGCACTTTAAGTCTTTAGGGCTGGCCTCTCTACCAGCCTCCAAGCCCCCAAAACCCTAGATATCGTTCCTTAGCCTCCATGGTTGTGTTTTTTAGCTCATTGTGTGCATCTTGGTGTATTTTGGCTCATATTCAAGAAGAAGGAGTTTGGTGCAAGGTTGTGGATCAAGGTAGAGCTTGTGGATCTTGATTATTTCCTTCATTTCCATCTTGTTTGAGGTAAAAAGCTATGAACTTGTTCATTAATGGCTTAGATCTATTATATATGAGTTTTGGTCACTTTTTAGCCCCAAGAATGAGATCTAGTGGTTTGGTACCACTCCAGGAGCTATGGGTTGCCACTCTTGGTGTTTCTGAGGTTCTAGATTCATAAATTTGTCACCTTTAGGGTTTAGAATCCCCCATGCATGAGATTGTGTCCATTTAGTGAAAGTATAATGCTATATATTGAAGTTGGGTTCTTTTGGGGCATGCAAAGTCACCAAGTCAGTGACTTTATGGTTCTAGACACTTATTAGGACTCAGATATGTGGTTTGGACTTCTGTACTTAAGCATTAATAGCTTAATGTAGAGTTTGGCTTAATGGATAAGTATGTGGGGCATACAAGTCTGTATACGCTACGTACAAGCCAAATACCGTGTATGCTTAGCGTACAACTGAGTACCCCCCGCGTACTCAGTCAGGTGGGATTTTGCATATTGAGCTTTCTTTTGGGCTTTGGTGTTTGAGTTCTTATTTGGGCTATCTGAGTGCAAGTTTTTGGACTAGGGAAATGGTTGGGCTTTAGGGTAAGGCCCATATAAGGGGTTTGGGCCCAATTTGGAAAATTGGGCCTAGGTTGAATAATTGGCTTTTGGGCCTTTTAGATGGTAAGTTTGGGGCTTAGTCTTGGACCAAGCTAGGTTAGGGGTAAATGGTCTTTTTACCTAAAGTATGGATTTTTGGTTATGGATTGGAACCCAAATGTTTCTTGAGTGTTGTTTTGGTATTGACTAGCTCACGGCTTCGTTGGACCAGTAGCCAGGGATTTTCAGTGAGATTTAGCAGTTGAGGTGAGTTTCCTCACTGGATTTAGCGGGTCGAAGGCACCAATGTCGGCCCATGGTTGATATGTTAGTATGCTCGATGTCTGCATGACACTTGCATGTGTTACGTATGGTATGCTTACCGGGCAAGGACCGATGCCAGGCGGGGCCTGATGAGTATATTGTATGCTAGTTATCAGTATGTGCTTTTATGCTTACCGGACGAGGCCCGATGTCGGGCGAGGCTCGATGAATTTATGGTATGCTATAGTCTCTGTGATTATTGCATGTGCTAGTAACATTATATGTTTGTATGATTATATGGTTACATGATTATGTGTGTATCGGGCGGGGCCCAATGTCAGACAGGGCCTGATGATGGACAAATCTGTAATCCGAGCGGGCTCGATGTCGGGCGGGGTCCGAAGCCGAGCGGGGCCCGAGGCTGAGTGAGACTCGATACCGGGCGGGGCCCAGTATGTGTTTTATGTATGTATGGTATGTGGATTCTTGGGTAACTCACTAAGCTTTGTGCTTGCGGTTTTCAGTTTATGTTTTAGGTGTTTCTAGTTTCAAAGGTAGGAGCTCGGGATGATTGCAAGACACACACCACTTTGTTCCGCGTTTTGTGATTTAGTCTGGTTTTATAGGTCGATTGATACACTTGTTTTATTGGGATTGTGTTGATGATGTTTTTGGAATACTGATTTTATTAAATAAAAAGAAAACTTTTGGGTCTTTTATTTGGGGACGTTACAAATTTTCCTAGTTAATTTTTAGTTCTTTTTATAAATATAGACGTACCAATTAAAAGAACATATAACAATACTATAAAATATAACATCTTTCCACATCGCCTCCGTACCAAATATCAGCGATGCGTTATGATAGTTCCATATAGTCCATAAGGTTGTCGATATGATGGCTTATATGACCCCTTCTTTATACCAAGATGCATGAAAAGAATCCAACCAATAAAAAATTATGCATCAGTTCAGGAGGCTAAGATCACACAAATTAAGCATCCAATTCCATGACTATTTTGTAACATCACAATCTTTAAACAAATGTATGACATCTTCAAGATAATTAGAACAAACTGGAAACAAAGTGAACGGGATATCAATACATTTGCTGAAGAGATTAGCTCTAGTTGGGAGCATATCCAATAATAGTCTCTATATAAAAATGTTAACTTTCTTTTGAATGAACTTGCTCCATCTAGTTTCAATCCCACCATCTCATAAAATACAATCATCTATGTGACTTCTCGTAACTCCTACTATGAACCCAACATTTTTTTTCAATCTCCCATAACCTATGATCCTCGGTTTCTTACATGCTCATCGAGACCAAAAACTATCGCAAAGTCGTGAATTGAACCAACTCCACACATCCCCTTATCGGTCCTCTGCACTACCACGATCACCCACCCAGGGCTCTATGATCTTTATGTCACTTTCTTTTCCATGCATAAAATAAATAATTAAGGAAAAATATAATAATAGGGCGTCTCATATCCAAAATAATGGTTGTAACTCGCACATTGTTCTGATAGTTTTATATATGTAAAATAGGCGAGACATAATTTATAGTACGAGTATGTTTTATTATACAAAAAAGTGCATACAAGGTTTTATTATACAAAAGACTTTGGTTGTTAAATGTATGACGTGACTAGTTCAAGGCCTGGTTTTGCCTTTGTTGTTGGAAAACTAAGTAAGTTCACTACCAACCCTAGTACTCATCACTAGGAAGCAATAAGAAGGATGCTTAAATATCTTTTAAAAACAGATGATTATGGTTTGTAATATGTATGATTTCCGTCTATCATAGGATTTTATGATGCTCGTTGCATAACCAACATTAAGGACCATTCATCTATAAGTGGTTGGGTATTCATGCTTGGGGATGTTCAAACTCATTTGTTTCTAAAAAGCAAACTTGCATCAACAATTTAACTATGATATCTGGATGTCGTAACTATGTTTCTGTCGGTAAGGAGACATAATGGTTAAGAATATTGATATATGAGATTCCATTGTAGCGAAAACCAATTTCATCAATTTCTATACACTGTGATAGTATAACCACTTTAGAGAAGACATATAGTGGCATCAATCAAGTCGGAATTAACCCTATACAAGTTGAGTTCAATGTTGACTTTAATCAGAGCTTGGAGGTGCGGAGTGAACACTCAAATAAGAACTCATGAACAATGGACCTGGAGTAGCGCCCCTAATGGGGTCCAAGGGGCGATCCCCGACACAAAACAAGATCCTTATGTTGCAAAAGGATTTCGTTGTTATTTTCCCGCCAAAACCAACAGTTGCATATGTTCCTAACATGCATTTCCTGCAAAAAAATAACCGATTTTAATCACCTATTGTCTATATAAAACATCTCGGTTGTTGCAGAAGAGGATGCTCGATCATTGTACTGTTACTCATCCAAATTATCATTTCAAAGAACACGAAACAAATCAAAATGTATTATGTGTTTTAACAAACTGAGATTTGCTTGAAATCAAGATTGATTTCTTGGATTATCACAAGTTTGAATTATTGTAACTCTATGTAGCATAGTCTAATTATAGATTTCGGAAAGTGTTTCTAACACGGTCTTAGAATTTATCCATTTATAACTTATATGATATATCTCTAACAAGCTAGGACGTTGCAATTTACCCATAGGAACAAAGATTCTTTAAGAACGAAGACATATATGAAATAGAAAATGTAATAAAAAGGGATTATTTTATTTTAAATTTATTTATGAAACATCAACTTTATTTTTATAGATAAAGTATAGACATTTCACATATAAATGGAATTTCGTAAATAGAAGCCTAAAGTATTTATGGAAGACGTAAACTTCTACGTATGGCTTATCACAAATGCACGCAACTCTTAAAACATTACTTGCCAACTTTGAGCTGGTGGCCTGGTGCATGCTTGACAACAATAACTCATATACGTGTCAGTAGCGTAACATTCACAAAGTAAATTGAATTCACTATCAAAAAGTTTTTTCTATCATGAACCATAATTGATGCTTTTCAATATGTAAAAGATATTGGAGATCGAAAAATGACTCTGATGAAAGAAACAAATAAATAAAAGTAAATTTATAATGAATTAGAAATTAATTAATATATTTAAATATATTTATGAAAATAGTCATTTACCCGATTTTTCTATATATGAAACAAGTCCACACTTCCACGTTAAAGTGAATTGCCGGTAAAGTAAGGACAAGGAAACAGTAATTCGTCATCTCCTCAACCATCCCGTTCTTTTATTTTATTTTAGAATAAATAATAATAATAATGATAATAATACTTTTTTGATAAGTAATGGTCATGGAATTCTTTTCCAATTGATTACTGTTCTTCATCTTTGATCTGCCAGTCTTCTTCTCTTCTTTTCCTATCTGGAGTAATCATTCCGATGGTTATTAGTTAATAATCGTCTCTTTCGATCGACATTCTTTCTGATCTTATTCTATGATCTTGTTAACCATCATGCATTGTTATATGGTTCCTCGAATTACGCCTTAATATATTTGTTACGTTGTCGAATTTCAGAGAGAATCAGGAAGGCTAGGGTTACGTTTCTTATGTTTTAAATGCGATATTTAATCTGGGCATTCTTGTTATGATGGCTTACGGAGACGAAGATTCAGTTTCCCAGTTGAAAATCGTCACTGAAGATTGCAAATGTGATTATGAAATACTTATTGAACGGGAGGCGTTGGGTGACTGTGGCGGTGGTATCGCTCTGACGTCGTCTTCTTCCGCAAGCGGCGGTGGTAGTGAAATTTGGTCGTCACTTAGGCGATGGGCAAAGCTTGTTTTTGTGGTTATATTGGTCTCAGTTTTGGGGGTTTGTTTCTTTATATGGATCGGACCCTTTTTGATGAACAAGGTACTTTGTTTAATTTCATACAAATTACATGCAAATGATTAATTTCAAAATTGTCTGGATTTAATCTTTATGTTTGCAACTCGAATCACAGGAAGTTATACCCATTTTGAACCGGGAGACGGAGACATTCAATAATCCAACACTAGCGGTTCTGATATTTGCTTCGGTAGCATTATTCCCGACTTTCCTTTTACCATCTACGCCGTCTATGTGGGTCGCCGGAATGACCTTTGGCTACGGCTTTGGCTTTCTATTGATCATCGGTGGTGTGATTATCGGCACATCTCTTCCTTTCTTCTTCGGTTCCCTATTTTACCACAAAATTGAAGTAAGTTCTCTGTTCGTAGATCGTTAATTAGAAATCTGGGTTTTGTTTTTATGGGTGTTAATTCAATCTCAATATGAATTGTAGGAGTGGTTACAAAAATTCCCAAAGAAAGCATCGATTCTGAGATTAGCAGGTGAAGGGAACTGGTTTAATCAGTTTAAAGCTGTAGTGTTGCTGAGGATCTCGCCGTTCCCATACGTCGTGTACAATTACTGTGCGGTGGCCACCGGTGTTAACTTCGGCCCTTACTTGTTTGGCACTTTGGTTGGAATACTTCCAGAGATTTTCGTTGCAATATACACGTAAGTGTTCCTTCTTTAATTGTAATTCTTGTGTGAGCTTAAATCTTACTTGGTGGTGGTTTCAGGGGCATAATGATCAGAACGTTGGCGGATGCGTCAAATGATCGGCGCTCACTTTCTGCACAACAGATCATGTGCACGGTGGTCGGATTTCTTTTAACGGTTATCACAACCGTGGGAGTGACTCTTTATGCGAAAAGACGGCTAAGTAAGTTGCAAAAGGAGGAACAACAACCATTGATTCAGTAAGAAGCTGTGTTCTGCGGTTGTACATTATCATTCATCCCGCCATGAAGATACGGAGCAAGCTTTCCAGAAAGTATTTGTTTTATATGTGTTTGAAAATGAATAATAAGAACTATAATTGGCTTGCATTTTTTTTTTCACAGTAAAATATAGGGTTAATGTTAATTTAGCACTGCAAACTTTTCTCTAATGTTTCAAAAGGTATTTAATGTTTTTTTTGGCTTCCTAAGTGTTGAACATTATGCCTAGTTTTTTTATATAATGTTTTGTATACTATAGGGTTCCTTTTTAACTTGTGTCAATATATAATGAATGTAATATAAGCAACCCTAATTAACAGGTTTTCCACATAATTCATCATTGTATCAAAGCCACAAGAAATCCCGTCTCTTTCCCTAGGAACCACCGACAATCACAACAGCCCTTCCTCGATCTGCATCACGCCATCGTCGCCCACCACAACATGTTGTCTTCGTCTCCTTCTAGCTACCGCATGTTGTTGTCGCTACTTCCCTCAGTGCCGCCACCAATGTTACACTTCAACGATTCTAAAGTCTGTTGCCATGGTTCCTTGCTGCCAATCAGTTCTCAGTTCTCGCTGCCTTCTTCTCATAGATCACCTGCTCTCAACGTGATTAGGTTACCGTTACATTCAGCTCTCTCTACCTACGATTCTAAAGTCTGTTGCCTCGGTTCCTTTATTTAGATCTATTGTTTTGATTTTCTTCAGTCTACATGTCAACTCCTTTGTCCTCCAGCACTAACACGCCTCCCACCACCAGTTAGTTGGTGTTTGCACTTACTAATGTTTACTCTTAATTCAATGTTAAGCTTTCGGTTGATGGTTCAAAGTACAAGCTATGGAGACGTATCTTTCTAGATATGTGTAAAGGTGCTAAAGTGCATGGACACATTAATGGTAAATCCAAACCTCAAGGAGATGATGATGAGGATTGGGAGACAATTGACTCTCAGATAAAATCGTGCTTCTATTCTACTTATGATGCTAACTTTATGCAAATTATCTCTAGTGACGACTGCACTACAAAAGATTTGTGGGATAAGTTACAAGAATTCTTCCTCAATAACAAGATGTCCCATATGCTCCAAATTCAAGAGCAATTTTGAAATACCAAGAAAGGATCTTCCTCCAATACTAAATTTTATCGCTTGTTGAAGAACTTAGTAGAGGCCCTTGCGGATTATGAATCGAAAATTGATGAAATAGAGTTTGTCATGCAAATTTTATGCTAGGTCTCGCCTTCCTACCACAACATTGTTGATGTTGATGAGTTTTAAACAAACAATCCTATGTGTGCATGCAACCCTAATTGGATCTATGTTTTCACTATTAGACATACAACTTTATGAACACAAAAAGAAACATTGCATGCATCTACTATTTTCGAAATTGACATAGGAGAATAGAATACATACCTTTTGTTGTTATATAGTAATAACAACTAGTTCCTTGAATTTCCTTAGCTCTTGAAGGCAAGTACCACAAGTGTAGTACCTCTAATGGCTCACAAACACACTTTGAGTGAGAGGATGAATATGAGAGAGAGGAGGAAGGGTACTAAGCTCCAAAATTCGGCTCTAGTAGGGTTTTCCAAAGGGGTGGCCGAATTCTTAAGCCTAGGGGGCTATTTATACTTGAGGTTAGCTAGGGTTTGAAGGTGGAAACCCTAATCCCTTATCTTAGGGCCTAAGCAAGTCCATAGACTCCTTTCCTTAAGCCCTTGGACGAAAACTCCTAGATCCTTCTAGGATTTTCGTTCAAGCCTTAATAAAGGTGATCCAATGGCTCAAAGTCTCAACTATCAAATAATTACAAAACAGCCCCTGTACTTTTAATTAATTCCTTTAATCCCGAAATTAATTCCCAATTAATTCCTGATTAAATACTAATTAATAATATGATTCCAAATTAATATATTATTGATATAATATATTAATAAATCATATTTATACCCCAATTTATTATTCTTAACAATAAATCAGCCTCTCTCCTCAACAGTCATCATGTCTAGTCACCAGTGTGAAGGCAACCCAAAAGGATCATGCTACAACCGGGTCAAGTACATACCAAATATAGTTATGGACTTATACACTAATCCAATAGTCTCCCACTTGGATAACTCTAATAACTATAAATGCAAGTACGACTTCAGGATCCGATTAGCAATCGTAGCTCTCAAAAGCTGTTGTCGAACTCTAATCTTATCAGTAACATGTGGTTTAGATAAGGGATCATATAGTCCTCCGTTCTGGATATCGTGCAGACAATTACATGGAACATAGTCATACTTATTGTCCAACAGTTTGTTTCTCGATCTCAGATTTGTCTGACATAGAACTTAATTGAACACATCAATTCAGTCCTGACCGGGCCCGACACATAAGTCAAACCAAATCATCGAGGGGCCCAGGTATCGCTTTTACCCTCTTAGGATAAAAGGAACAGATAAACTTCGACTTATATGCATTTACTATTCACTAATCAAATCATACACAACAATGCATTTTATAACATCAAGTTACTGATGCGTTTACACATTATCATGCACAACCAATTAGCAAACAATAAACCATATATCTAGGTTTTAAGACCATATGATATTATCGTCTTGCGATCACTCGTTATAAATTCCATGAAGTGATTCCAGCAAGCGTGGGTTTATTCCAATGCTCAAATATTATTCATAAGAACTCATAAACGTTGTATCAAACCTTTGCTATGTCTAATACATTTTAGACAATCTACACTCCAATTCATGACAATCTTCTTTCATACCTACTTCCAACATATGAATGATTGTGGACCGATCGAATAATTTAATTATTCAGGAAGTCAAAACATGCAAAATGAAACAACAGTTAAACAATTAACATAAGACAATAACTTTACTCATAAATAATACCCATTTATTTAATCATCGAATGTTAATTACAATTTATCTATTACACGTTTCTAAACTATCTAATCTAAACTAATATCGTCCTTCAGCCCAATGCTCCTAGCGTGCTGCAAGTGCTTAACCCTACTCAGTCCCTTCGTAAGGGGATTTGCTGGGTTATCCTCCGACGATACCCTCTTCACTATGAGGAGTCCCTCTTCCACCCGATGCCGAATAAAGTGATACTTTCTGTTGATATGTCGAGATCTACCATGATCCCTCGGTTCCTTGGTCAAGGCAACCACTCCTTCATTATCACATAATATCTCCACAGGCTCCTTTATGGCTGGCACAACTCCAAGGTCTCCGATGAAGTTCTTCAACCATATTGTCTCCTTTGACGCTTCGCTCGCCGCTATTTACTCTGATTCGCACGTTGAATCAGCTACAGTCTCATGCTTGGAACTTTTCCAAGTTACTGCTCCTCCATTAAGGGTAAAGACCCACCCCGACTACGAACGGTAGTTGTCCCTATCGGTCTGAAAACTGGCGTCACTATACCCTCGCACCTTTAAGTCATCACTCCCACCGAGGACTAGAAACCATTCCTTGGTCCTCCGAAGGTACTTAAGAATATTCTTGACTGCGGTCCAATGTGCTTTGCCAGGGTTCCCTTGATATCTGTTGACCATGCTCAAAGCGAAGGCCACATCAGGGCGAGTATAAGTCATAGCATACATAATCGAGCCAATTGCAGAAGCGTACGGTACTCGGCTCATTTCTACTATCTCGACTTCGGTACTCGGACTTTAAGTCTTACTCAACTTGGCATTACTTTGGATCGGTAACTCCCCTTTCTTATAATTCTCCATACTAAAACGTTTTAGTACCTTGTCCAAGTAAGTATTCTGACTAAGTCCTATTAGTATTTTACTCCTGTTTCTCATTATCCTTATTCCTAGAATATAGACAGCCTCTCCGAGATCCTTCATAGCGAAGCACTTCCCAAGCCAAGACTTTACTTCCTACAACGTCGGGATGTCGTTTCCTATGAGTAGTATGTCATCGACATACAATACGAGGAAGCTAACTATACTCCCACTGGCTTTGACATATACACATGATTCATCCTCGCTTCGCAGAAAACCAAACTCTTTGACTTTCTCGTCGAAACAAAGATTCCATCTGCGAGACGCTTGTTTTAGTCCATAAATGGACTTCTCAAGCTTAGACACTTTATTAGGATGCTTTGCATCGACAAAACCCTCTGGCTGACTCATGTAAACATCCTCAGCCAACTTCCCATTTAGGAAAGCGGTTTTGACATCCATCTGCCATATTTCATAGTCATGAAATGCAGCAATGGCTAGCATCACCCTAATAGACTTTATCTTCGCAACCGGTGAGAAGGTCTCATCATAGTCAACTCCGGGAGTTAGAGTAAAGCCCTTCGCACCAATTGCGCCTTATAAGTGTGCACATTCCCATCCATGTCGGTCTTCTTCTTGAAGATCCGTTTGCAGCCGACCGTCTTACGACTTGGCACATTGTCAACCAAATTCCAAACTTGGTTGTCATACATGGACTGAATCTCGCTGTCCATAGCCTCTTTCCATTTCGCAGACTCCGGGCCTGCCATGGCTTCCTTATAGTTGCCAGGTTCGTCCACATTTACTAGTGTACTATCACTAATAAACGTATCCCCTTCAGTAGTAATATGGAAACCATAAAACTGGGGTTGAATGCTAACTCTACTGGAACGTCTAAGAGGTAAGGATTCGTCAATCGGTTCAACCGGAGTTTCCTCCTCGGGTTGAGCGCCAACGTTAGAGGTTCCTTCATCGCTCGACTCTTGAAGCTCTTCAAGATCGATTTACCTCCCACTGTCCCCTTGGCTTATGAGTTCTCGCTCTCGGAAAACCCCTCTCCTCGCAATGAAGACAACATTGTCATTCGGTCTATAGAAGAGATATCCAAAGGACTTCTGTGGATAGCCGATAAAAATACACCACTCACTACAAGGTTCAAGCTTGTCGTGAGTCTCTCGTCTTACGAAAGCCTCGCAACCCCAAACCTTGATATGTGCCAACGAGGGAGCTTTCCCTGTCCACATTTCGTGAGGTGTTTTGGCAACCTTCTTTGTGGGGACTAAGTTAAGAATATGGCGACATTCTCTAAGGCATACCCCCAGAATGAGATAGGTAATGAAGCACGACTCATCATGGAACGAACCATGTCTAGCAAGGTTCGATTACGCCTCTCAGCCACACCATTCAACTGTGGTGTCCTAGGTGGCGTCAATTGCGAAACGATTCCGCATTCCTTGAGGTAATCGTGGAATTCAATACTTAGATACTCTCCTCCTCGATCGGATCGAAGCATCTTGAGTTTCCTGCCCAACTGATTCTCCACTTCCTGCTTAAACTCTTTGAACTTTTCAAAGGTTTCTGACTTGTGTTTTATTAAGTAGATATACCCATATCGGCTATAATCGTCAATGAAAGTCACATAGAAGCGGTTCGCATCCCTTGTGGTGGATCTAAAGGGCCCACACACATCGGTGTGTATGAGATCCAATAAAACCTTACCCCTCTCACAAGTACCAGTGAAGGGTGGCTTGGTCATCTTTCCAAGTAAACAAGACCCGCACACGTCATCGTCCCTAAGGTCGAATGACTCCAACACTCCATCCTTTTGGAGTTGGGCTATGCGTTTCTTGTTGACATGTCCAAGATGACAATGCCACAAGCATGCTTTATCCAAACTATTGGAAGAATCAACACACAACACATCATTTCCTAAATTA